AGATCTAGATCTTGATTATTTTAAATCCGAGGATCCATATGTAGTAGCGCTGGAGGGTCGATCGCTCCAGCGCCCTCGAGTGTGCCCGCGAGGCGATGCCTGATCGATCATGGGATCCGGGATATTTAAATATTTGGGCTTGGGGTCAACTACTGAGAAAACGGAGGGCTAATTTGGACAAAGGTACGAACCAATCGGCCGTTCATATCTTCAGATATGAAGGTGTGGTAGTACCGAAAGTTCATTCCTTGTAGATCGTATCGGAGGCTCGGGTATTTAGGAGTTCAGGGTTCAGGGCTTACGGCTTAGGAGTTCAGGGTTCAGGGCTTACAGCTACCGTTCTAGCCCAACTCAGCTGGGCCACTCTCCCGGCCGGCAAAGTATGCCAGCTCTTGCATGGCCTTGGCTGCTTACTTATAAGTGGTGAACTCAGATCACCGCAAACCGCCCCGTATAAGCTACAACACGGAAAACGAGTGCTAGGTCCAGTGCTAGAGCAGTGCAAGCCTATCTGAACCTTTAAATTCGGATCCATTGCAATTGAAGGCCTAGGCACATGAAGCTTTGGACGTATGGGAAAGAGCCCCACTCCATCCTGTACACAGTGTGCAGCGAGACATCCGTAGGCTGCCAATGCAGCATTTGTACTGTACTGGATCGCCTGGATCTGGGAGTCGTTGAGGAAGCGAGGGGCCCATTCCACATGGTTCATGAGGGCAGAGCAGAAATGCCTGGTTGGGCTAATTTAGGGTTTGCACAGGGTTTAGGATTGTTTTCGGGCTACATTTATTGGGCGTGGTTTGAGATCTTATGAATATGGCGGGCATAGGGTGTAGTACCAGCCCAGCAACATGCACTGGGCCAAGAGGATCAGCTCCTCCGTCTGGTAGATCTCATCATGAACCAGCCCAGTCATCAAGTCTGCCAGCCAGCTTGTGATCACACGGACCTTATCTAGATCCGAAGCCAAGCAAGCAGCCCCAGGAACCCCCCCCCCCCAAATCAGATCGGACCACAGACCCCTAAACCTTTTCAGCACCCTAAACCCTCAATCCCAAACCCTAAACCCTAAACTCTTCTCTGTGTGTGTGTGTGCTCAGAACCCTAAATCCTAAACCCTAGATCCTAAACCCGAAACCGGTACCCTAAACCCTGAACCCTAAACCCTAAACCCTAAATCCAGGACCCTAACTAAATCCTAAACCCTAAATCCTAAACCCTAAACCCTGAACCCTGAACCCTAAGCCCTTAACCCGAAACCCAAACCAAGGCACATTGTATCCCTTCGCTGCCAAAATCACCTCGCCGTCGCTGTTCCGCAAGTTTTTGGGCTGGAATAAGGGCTGGGAGTGCCTTCCGGGATCCATAAATACCACTCACTCACAATAGTAAATAGCACAAATGTAAAAACAAGCAAATGAATAAGTATTGGAAGAGAGGGTGCACGATCTTGTGTTCGCGAGCCCAAATGCAAAAGTCAGCATAAGCCGATTTCAGTTTGAGGGCTTTGTCACCGGCCCAAACATCCTGCTCCAGGAGAGAACCCTACACCCCTAGGGCCCAGGATAATATATTGCAGGTGAGGCCAGGTCAGGGTTTATGTTAATTAATGGTAGTCCTTGGAAAGAAGCATTTCCAGGCATCCACCCGATGCCCAAGCCAAAATGCCAAGGTTCACAGCGTGAAGGCTGCACCATCGCATCATGGTATGGTGGAAGCCCTCCAGCTTGAGTAAATAACCTCGGTGGGACACCGGCCATAATAATTACTGGTTTCGCCGATTTGCGGGTCCATGTACTATCTTTAATTTCCAAGCAGGACACTGCTGTGAACACCCGGAACCTGTGTTGCACATTGACTCACAAAGTTCTGCATGTCACGGCGAGGGCGGCTATCCAAATTCGAAGGAGTCTCGAAGTAGCAGTCTTTCGATGCGAAGCAGTGATGACATATGGACCGGGAGCTCCACCCACACTGCAACCCCATCCACTCCTTCAGGAATGCTGCGGTGTAAAGTTGGTTTTAGGGTTCAGATCTAGAGTTCCTCAGATACGGGGTCCGGGGAATCACAGAAGGCTACGGGTGTAAGTATTGGGTTCAGATATCTAAAGTTCCTCAGATACGGGGTCCAGGGAATTACAGAACCGAAGGCTTCGGTGTAAAGTTGGATTAGGGTCCAGATATCATGTAGAGTTCCTCAGATACGGGGTCCAGGGAATTACAGAGGCTACGGTACTTATATTGACACTGCCTTGAAGAACTTCCAGTCAGCCCGAATTTCACAAAGAGGATAGCGGACAATGTTACCATTCAGTGTCGCCAGGGGTTGATTTGAGAGCTTTGGCACACAGTCATCGTACTCGCAGTAGCCCTCCGGAGTGAGGATGGGCCGCTCCGGCACAAATCCGTAAAGGGCTGCATTCAGCGATGCAACCACCTATAGTGTAGGGTTTTTCATTGTAAATGCGTGTGCACCTTGATTCTAGGGTTGAGCCTCGAATGCATATGTTCGAATTAAAGCCCAGGCACTGGCTTCGTGTATGCCTGGATGGTGGCAAAGCCGCAGCTGAGAACCTGCAGGGATGATACCCTCCTATTTGGGGTCTAGGGTCTAGGGTTTAGGGTTTTGGGTTTAGGGTTTAGGATCCAAGTCACACTACAGGGGGTTTTAACGATTAGAAAAAAGGTTTGTTAGTGCATGACTATATAAAATGCTTGTCATGATGCCGTGTTTAGGGTTTGGGGTTTCAGGGTTCCGGGTGTGGATTTAATTTAAAGTCAAGTGCCTGCCGCACCACGAATAATGGGTAATGTGTCCGGAGGGAGAGGCCCTTTTTCTCGGAGAGTACATAGCCCAAGCAAACACATGTCAACTTTTCGTTCGAATTGAACTGAACATCATCGCCATAAAGGAAAGTTGGATTGCATGGTGAATCATGACATGAGCATGGGTGCAATCGGCCCCACTGCGTGTGTAACCTCACATGGCTCCAGTACTGGTGGCAAAGTTCCACATCGATCCGGTCGGCATTGATTTCATGCAGGTACTGCAAAAGGTGGTGTGGCAGCACCACTGGCATCATCCTTCATGCACAATCGCATCAGTATTGTTTCACCTCACATTATCGTTACACCGTCTTTGCAAGTACAGCAACCAGTATCGGGGTTTAGGGTTCAGGCTTTAGGGTTTAGGGGGATTCTAGGGCAAACCTCTAAAAACAGTTCCCGATCCATGTTTATTTGGCTTGGCCTCTGCACCACAGTGTCATTGGTGACAGAGGTGAGCATCGGCACTTTGACATAGGATATCGGAACCTCACTCGGTAGCATAGCAAACCCTACCAATTCAGGCTTCAAATCTACACTAAATCAATCAAAAGCTTGTCCTATAGGTCCATGCATCGGAGCCCACAGTCTTGCTCAATGTTCGTAGAACATCACGTTCGATGTTCGAACCATGCTTGCCGTTGCAGCCAGCACGCCGAATGAGGTCTCCCAAAAGGCCTAGATCACCTCCCTTCGCATGCACCTCCTGGATCCCGGAATGAGAAATTTCTTGCCCTAAACCCTAAACCCTAAACCCTAAACCCTAAACCCTAAATAAACCCTAAACCCTAAACCCTAAACCGTGCCTAAAGCTTAAACCACAGAGCTTTATATATGTAACTACATTACCAGCCCCGGCCCCGTCCTTGTGCCCCTGGCGGAGCATCTCTGCAGCTCCAGCAAAGCTCAGGTCCTGGATCTCGCAATTACGACTATGGCGGCTTGGTCCGACTTCAATTTAATACAAAAAGAAACAATTAGGCATGTTCAAACTCCCGTCCCCTTTGCCGGCGCATTTCAACACATGACGACTGAGAGGGCCCAGGTCATTCTTCTCGGAACCTGCACACTATAGAGTATATACTCTAGAGTTGGAGGTTATTGTGCATGTGTGGTGCATGCTCACAATCGATCCTTTGTGCCCTCATCGCACTGAAGCCGATATCGAGTGGATAGCACTTCGGCTCCGAACTAGACTGGGCCCCAAGCTTATAAGTACATGTACAGTACGAGGCCGGCGTATGCAGGTTCTGCCCGCACTTCGGATAATCTTCGTCACAAAATGTGTGCAGGGGCCAGGGCCCCCATGACTGGTACACATGCATGAGTGAAGCTCCCCAGCGAGCTCACTCTAGCACATCACATGTTGCCAGGCCCAGGATC